TTATGTTTCTGGACGCTAGTTTCACTCATCAGAAGAAAAGGGTGGGTTAGAGAGCAGGGTTGTTACTTTTAAGAATCTCTGGAAGGTAGTCACACCACCCAAACGTGTCTGCCATGCCAAGAGGAAATTTAAGAATACGTGGACTTCACTGGGGACTGCAGACGCGAGTCCACCGGGAGGCCTGCGTGGCCGGGCCTGTGGCCAGCCGATGCGCCCGCCCCTCGGACAGGATGGTCTGTGGAAAGGAGCACCCACGCTGCGGCTGAATGACCCATATTTACAGGTGGGATTGGCCCGAATCCCAGTTTGTTAGCTTAACACCTGGTCGTACAACCCTCAGCTGAAGGATGAGGCCCGAATCCCGGCCCCACCACTGCTCTTTGTGTTTCCTAGGTCTCAGGACTCCGCCCCCAGAGCCAATGACATGGTCCCACTGTGCTTGGAGTTCTTTAACATTTGTGAGCCTCAATGTCTTCATCTCTTAAAACAAAAATAATAGCATGTAGTTCATAAAATGCTGGGAAAATGAAAAGAAATAATACCTTTTCAAACTTGGCCTGCTCTCTGGTGGAAGGTCCGTGTTAGCTGTCATCACCATCCTCAACATCCTCATAGCATCAGCAGCATGGTCGTCATCACCGTCAGACCCCGAGGCTCTTCCAGAAGCCGCTCGGAGCTCACTCCATGTGCCCACTTTATTTAAGAATAAGCCAATCCTGCCCTAGCGGTTTGGCGCAGTGGATAGAGCATAGAGCGTCGGCCTGCGGACTGAAGGGCCCCAGGTTTGATTCTGGTCAAGGGTACATACTTTGGTTGCAGGCACATCCCCGGCTCTGGTCAGGGCACGTGCGGGAGGCGACCAGTCGATGTGCCTCTCTCACATCAATGTTTCCCTCTCTCTGTTGCTCCTCCTCCCTAAAAATCAATGGAAAAGTATCCTTGCATGAGGATTAACAAAAATAAATAAATAAGCCAATCCTAGCGGCAGTGCTCCTCGACCCCAGGTCTTGTTGACGTGCAGATGGCTCTGACTCGCCAGGTCGGTGGAGCCTGAGACTTGGCACTTCTCCCGGCGATGTCCATGCTGCAAGGCTGCAGGCGAGGTGTTCTTGTTTAGGAGTAAAGAAGAGGTCAATGCAAAGTTGTGGATGACCCTGCACTTCCTAGCGCTTCTATTCCCCCGAGCATTTCCCTCAGTGTCTGGAAGAGGCAGAATTTGAAGCTGATCCCATGGCTTGTCTAAGCCCCTCCCCTTGAGCGAGGGTAGGTGTATGACTAGGATGGGCTGTCACGTGCTTGACCAGGTCACCTGCTGGGGCAAGGGGAAGGAATTCTGCAGGTGTAATTTAGGTCCCCAGGCGGTTGACTTGACATTAATAAGAGGAAGACCATCTGGGTGTGTGTGAGCGGCCAGTGGGCTCCGTAGACGAAGGCCTAGAGGTCAGAGTCGAGAGACCCGAGATGTGAAGCAGCATCTGGTGTCCTGTTGAGCTGGAGGCGACAGCTGCCCGCGTGGGGAGGCCCTGGGGCAGGAAGTGGCGACCTCCAGGTAGATGACAGCACAGAGCTCTGTCAGCAGCGTGCGCACTTGGAAAAGGACCCTGAGCGCTGATGTCAGTCTGAGTCCAACCCCCATCCAAGCTGAGGCCAGACGCCCACCCCCAGCAATGTGACCTCATCGGTGGGTGTGGCGTGAAGCCACTGAGTGCATGGCAGTTGACTACACAGCAATAGAAAACGCGTCTGAGGCCCAGCTCTGCCCTTTGACCTTTGTGCATGCCAGTCCGTTATTCTGCAGTGATAACCTCAGTAGCTCAATAGAGTACAAGTGGCTGGCTCATGCTCCATGTTGCCAGTGGTCAGCGTGTCAGGCTGATGGCGCTGGGGCCTTACGAGGCTGGTGCCAGAAGAGAGGCTGCAGGGCTCTGCCGGCCTCGGCGGCTGTGACGTGTGCTGTCCCGGACAGCAGGAAGCAGTGCGTGGGCCATGGATAGAGAGGACCTCAGCCTCCTGGCAGCACGGCCTGCCACCCTGTGTGACAAACAAGGCTCAGGGCTCACGGTGGCCGCAGTACGGGCTGGGGGAGGGCGCCAGGAGAGAAGTGGCTCGGCCCGATCACCGTCATGCGGCCATGCCGAGTGTGCAGAGAAATGGACTCCTGTGTGTGCCCCCAAACAGGAGAGTTCCAGATATTGGTGAGCATGATTCTCTACCACATCGCGTGGCTCGGGAGGTTGGTTGAGGGGCAGGGGAGCAGCCTGGCTCTCAGATGGCCAGTGCCAGGGAGCTGTTCTTACCACCAGGGAGCAGGCTGGCTGGCGTGGGAGAGCTGAGAGAAGCCCGAGGGCAAGCGAGGGAATGCGGCCTTGCCCAGGCCCGGGTAGAGCGTACGTTTTCTTGGCGGGGCTTTCTGGGGCGGTGGAAACCCAGGAAGCCTAGGCTGTCTTCAGGCCAAAGACGGCCTCCCTGCAGCACGGGATCCCCCACCCAGTGCAGATCCAACTCAGGGGGCTTCTACTTTTTGTTTTTGTGCATGAGCTTGACTTCTCTCTCATGGCCACCCCAGACACAGGACAGGGGATGCTGCTGCCTCCATGGCCCTCGGAGGCCAGGCCGTTCCGGTGGGCACGTCACCCGGAGGGTAAAGACGACCTGCTGGTGTAAAAAGAAATGCCATGTGCTTGGCGCTGTAACACTTCTGGAAGGAAATGTTAGTGAGATGATGTAGTATGGTCAAAATTTATACTCACTGCGGATCAATGCCACAAAATAGTTACCTTGACTAACTCTTCTAATAAGAGTCTCCTGAGGCCCCTTTTCATCAGGAAAAAGGAGTTAAACCTACCAGTACACGCTGCCCCCTCTTGATGGGCTCAGTGGGCCTCTCTCGGAACTGCTGTCTCTTCCGGGGAGAAGCTCGGTCTTTCAGTTTCTCACCTCACACCCTCTTCCAGCCAGGAAGGCACCTGAGCACAGGGGAGGCTGTGTCCCCAGGCGTGAGGGGCGGTGGCTAGTCCCCTGCTGGCCTGTGGGTCTTCCCTGGCTCCCACGGAGAGGCGCCTGGACCTGGCCATCGTGGGTGTTGGAATCTGCTGCTGAGAAAACCCATCGTCTGCCTTTCAGCCCAGTCAGAGCCAATGATGTGGCCCACGCCACATGGTCCCACGGTGCCTCCTGGCTCCACAGGCCCTCACATCTTGGCTGTGCCATCATTTCTCCCGCATGGACTGGCCACCGGTGCCAGTGATACTCAAAATGTTTACCAGCCCGCAGGCGAAGTACCGCCCGTCAGCACAGGCCACGCGGACCACTGGGGAGCACAGGGCCGGGGTGGCAGAGGGTGGAGAGTCAGGGCCTATGTGGCTATTCACCAGCCGGTAAGCACAGTTCCACAGTCGGCCGCACAGCTCCTTGCCGACTGCGTGCCCTCAGCCTCAGCTCCAGGCGTCTCGCTCCTCATTGCCAGGCCGGTCTCCTGCACGGGAGGCCCAGGGGAACAGCTGGACCCTCTCCTTGTTGGCGAAGACCCGAGGCTAGCAGGGAGCTGACTCAGACCCTCTCCCTCCCTCGCCATGCCGCCACGCCCTCCTCCCTCATGGCCGACGGCTCATGGCTCCTGTTCGCTGCAGCGGGATCCGGAGAGCAGACCCAGAGCAGGAGAAAGCGCCTCTGCCGCCAGCGCCTCCTCTTCTACTTTTGCAGTTTCTGAGCCCAGAAGAGGGAGAAGCATCTGCCCGCGTCCTCTCGCGTCTTCCCTCCTTCACCCTGGAGCCCAGAGCCTCCTCCTCGACTTCCCTTCCTGCCGGGAATGGGCCCCATGTCCATCCACTTACTCCCTCCTTCTGGCTGCGCTCCCCCTTCCTGGGGCCGCGGAGGTAGTGAAGGGAGACCCACAGGAAGGTGATGTCACATTATTACCTCAGGGCCAGTGCCGACACTGTCCCATCCTAGACACAGGCTTCTGGACAGAAGTTCCTCTGCTCTTCATGGCTCGGGGCTCCTTACACACCAGCTGTCTGTGCCGACACCCTGACCCCCCCCAAACCCCGGGGGGCACCGTGAGGAGGCGGCCCTCTGTGTCTGCTCTGAAGGCCCGAACTCCCGTGGCCTTAAGCTCTTGCATCTGCCCTTGCAGTTTTCCTGTCTCCCTGTTACCGTCCATAGGCGACCTCTTCTCTGTGTTTCTTCGCCAGCCCTGTCCCGGCTCCCATTTGCTGCCTCGAATCTGCTCTTGATTGAGCATTTCTGGTCGCCCATCGCGCGTAACAATGGCTGCTCAAGTGAGTCGCTTAAACACACCTTTATTCTAACTCACATTTTCTGTGTGTCATGAATTTGCGGGGGCTCAGCTGGGCGACCCTTCTGCGCCATGGGGTCCCACTGAGTTCAAACAGTGGTTCTCGGCCGGGCAGTCTGCTGGCGGCACTGCTGGTGCCTCTGGGGGGCGTCCTGGGGGCTGTGTGCGAGCGGGGACTCCCTCGCAGCACGGCCTCGGGCCCGGGGTTCCCTTCACAAGTGGCTGGTTCCCTGGGGCAAGGGTCCCAGGGAAGGCAGGCGAAGCTGCGGGGCTGCTCCAATGTCGCTCTGGCTTCACCGGCCTCCCTCCGCGGGACTTGGGTCCCAGGCTGGCTCGCGTTCAGGGAGTGAGCGGGACCCGTGGGTGATGGGCGCAGGCACAGGCGGGCGGCCATGTGGGCCGGGAAACCGGTGAGCCATGCCCACGCGGACTCGGGAAGAGGCTCTGAGAGGCCTCGCAGCCGCCGGTGAGGGAAGCACACACGCCTGGACCTGCTGGTTAGATCTTGCCGGCGGTTTAGAGCTTGGTCCTTGTCTCTTCTGACTGTGGCAGTTCAATGGGCAAGTTCTGTGGCTCATGGATAATTCGAATGTCTGAGGTGTTTGCCACTCCGATTGCAGGGGCTGAGGCATCTCGGCTGCGGGTGTCACCTGTTCCCGCCCCCTGTCCCTGCCAGCGCCCAGCCCAGTGACTAATCATGGTCACCCAGTGAGCAGCCCAAGCAGCTGGAGGCGGGCGCTCCGGAGAATCAGGGCCTGGAGTCCTGCTCTGCCTTTGCTGTCTGGGGATGTGAGTGAGTGGGGGGACCCATTGGAGGTTCCTGATGAAGCCCCCAACTCGGGGCTTTGGAAATGACAGCGGTGCTCAGGGCTCAGACGAAGCTCATGTCCAGGCTGGAGCAGAGGGCTGTGCACCTGGAGGTGTAGTGACTCTCAGCAGCCCAACCCCTGCCTTTTAGAGATGAAGAAACTGTGACCCAGATTGGTAAATGCCTCTGTGGCTTGCCCGGCTCAGAGCCAGCTCACAGCGAGGAGGGCATCAGCCGCAGTCTCCTGTTCTGTGTCGTCTGAATGAAAGCATCCGCATTCCGTGGTAGGCTGTGTGTGTGTGTGTGTGTGTGTGTGTGTGTGTGTGTGTGTGTGTTTACATGTTGAACATCTATAATAATAAAAGCGTAATATGCTAATTAGACTGGACATCCTTCCGTCCTTCCTTCTGGACAAAGCTGTGGTGGCGGGGGCCAAGGCCTTGCATGAATTTCGTGCCTCGGGCCTCTAGTCCTTCTATAACATGGATGTTCACATCATCTGTTGTTCCATTAGGTAAAGTTGCCCGCTTTCTAGTGTAGTGCCTGGTGTTTGCTGAGTTGTTGACTGTAGCAGGGAGCTCTGGGTGTGTGATGGCTCCTTGCAGGAGTTAGTCCGACGCAGGCTGGGTGCTCTGACGCCTCCTTGGGGTCTGCTAGCTGTGCTTCTGAGTAAGGCACTCCGCCTGCGTTCCGGGGCCTCTTCTGGAACATGCTGCTGAGGGCAAACACTTGTCAAGTGCTTTCTCCTGCCGACTCGGTGTGCACCCCTTTATCCATCACATGCCACCTTCCCTCCTGATGCACGTCAGGCCACAGCCACTTCAGGGATCAGCAGCCGGAGCCTCGCAGAGGCCGCACAGTCTGCCTGCTGGCACTGACCCATCCGGCCGCCACGGGAGACAGCGGGCCCTCCTGACCACTCTGCCAGACTCTCCGGTCCACCTGCTTCCCAGAACGCTCCCTGTGCAGGTTCCCTAGGTCTCAGGGATCCGGAACATGTAGACTTCTGAGCCGGCCTGGGGTGGAAGCTGACCAAGAAGTAGAGCTCACATGAAGGAAATTTTGTATTTGAAAAGGACAGAGAAGTTTCTGACCACGAGTACTCCTGGAGACTTGGAAGAGTCCATCTTAGAGGGTGGCTTGGCCGCTAGGGAGGATGCTGGGCTCGGGAAGACTGTCTGGGTGAGCTGCTGAGCTTCATGGCCGAACAGAGGATGAGTATCAAGGCAGGACCGTGTAGGCTCAGGCTTGCATCTGGCTGTCACTCCATCAGCCCCGTTACTGGAGGTGTCTGAGCCTATTTCCATGCCTTCCTGTTTGTATCGAGGGCGCGTGCTCACTGCACACTGAGCTCAGCGGCGAATCTCTTACGCACACAGGCCGGGGCCCTGAAGCTTGCTGGCTGTGGGTGGTGGGTGCCAAGAGTGCCCACCTCAGCACTCGGGGCGTCCGGGGGGAGGGGGTGAGGAGGGGGTCTTGTCGGGCTTAGCCTGTGGGCAGGCTGATGGAGAAGAAAGTTTGTAAAAAAAGTGTCTTTGTTTGATGGTCCAGCTCAGAGGCTCTGAATAACTTGGCTTCCATGGGAACCCAGTGTGTGAGCAGAGGATGTGAAGGAGTGGGAAGGTGAGCTGTTTTCTTGAAACTCTTAGTCAGTGGTTTTAGGGAAGAAGTTGGTCGAGTTCAGAAGGTTTGACAGGGATGGCTTTAGGGAGTAGGTACGTGTTGGCAGAAAGTAAAATATGCAGAGAGTGTAGCCCTTGGGGGAGCCCAGTCTCAACCTGTCCAGGTTTTCCCTTTGAGTCACTGTGTCCTCAGCTCCACCAGAGTCAGGGCCCTCGAGACACTGCCATTCGGACCCGGCCACGCAAACCAGGGAGAGCCCCACTGTGCTGCTCCACACTCCCTTCGTCCTGGGGGTGGGCGGGGAACTGGCTCCTATCGTTTTTAAAGAACAAAAATAGTTTATAGATGACTCATTAAGAGTTCTGCTTTGAGCCAGGACAATTGTCAACAAAAGCTGCCTCAAAGTGGTCATATCTTTCTCTAGAGCAGGGGTGGGGAATGTCCGGCCCGCGGGCCGTATAAGGCCCAGCAATCATTTGGTCTGGCCCTGCCAAGGCAACCACAGATGGGACTCTAATAAATGTAGGAGCTTTTTTCAAAGCAGCAGGAATGTATATTAAGTGAATTGTATTAAGCGAGTGACGTTATAAATCCCAAATGGCCCTGGGCAGCAAAGGTCCCCCTCCTGCTCCGGGGGCTCTTCCCTACCCCCAACCTTCCACCCTCTGTGCTGTCCAGAGACTTAGCTCGAAACGCTTTATATTTTGCTTTACCTTAGCATTTAAACATGTTTCTAAGCTTCGTTTGGATGTAAGTATTTATTCCCCCCTGGGTTCAGGTTGGCACCACATGCCTGAAACATGTTTGGGTTTTTAGGAATTGACTTCACAAGCTGGCGGTGGCGGTGCTGTGCCTGAGGCCTGAGGCTGTTGGACTTCATGAATGTTTAGGGCCTGCCCCCTGGTTCGGGCGGCGGTGCCACCTGACTCAGAGTTTTCTGCACAGCATCTCAACCTCTTTCAGAAAAAGGTGGAGACAGACAGAAAGCAAAGTGCAATGTTCTGGGGCGTTTCCCCACCTGGTGCGGGCTGTGCCATCGCTCTCCGCTTATTTCATTTTTCTCTCCTTCTTTCAGCTCGTCACACATTTTGGGTCATTTTAAAAAAATTCCCGGCCCTGCTTTCGTCATCCTATTCCTCTGTGGTTTTACACTGAGTGTGGAGAAACATAGTTATTTGACAAAAACAAAACAACAATAAACAAGGATAAAATTGTAACTCAAATACTTGGAACAAGCTGCCCTAACATTTCTTTCTTGCAGTAAGAAGGTCCACTCGGATTCAAGCAGGAATGTAGAATGCCTGTAACTCAAAGACATTTAAGGAAAGTGGGCCAGGCACACAGTGTTTGGTGCAAACCTCTGCAAACAAATCCTTTTTCCTCGGACTCTGCGAAGGCTGACGGCTTCCCACACGGGGTTGGGCTGCAGCCTTTCGGGGGCTTTGATTATTGAAAACAATCGCTGCCACCTGTTTGTGGTTATTGTCTGAGGCCACTTCCTGGAAAGGTCACAGGAAAGCTGCTATTTTGCCAAAGTCCACAGAGAGAAACCAAGGCAATTCTCTGGGCGGGGGGCCTGGGCGGAGCGGGTCTGGGAGGAGAGAGGGGGAGTGGCTGCTGCACGCGGGCATTGGAGAGTGTTGTTTGATTGGGACAGGGTCCTTGTTGAAACACCTCTACTTCTAACCCTGGCCAGATGTGTGATCGTGAGAAGAGGGTTAACGGCCAACTCACTTCCCGCACCTGAGAAAGGGCTAGGACTAGACCTCCCAGGTTCCCAGCTCTGTTGCTCTGTGGAGCCTGAGCTAGCAGCTGCCCTGAATGGATGCAGCCTGACTTTCTGGTGGAAAAATGCGTTTAAACATGGTTACAAATCCTCACATAGTCCCAGCCAAGCCTGAACCTGCACTTGGGGGAGGGGTGCTTTCCTCCAAGAGGCGGCTGCACAGCTCCTCCTGACTGTCAATCATCAGACACCACTGAGCACCCGTGCCCGGCAGGGCTTCTTACCCCGTCCTTTTCCTGAACTCTGAGAGGCTAACACACAGGGGCTAGGTTTGCTGTGCAGGACAGAAACCTGAGCATGTAAAGGCAGGCAGGCTGGGCGGGGCAGCTCCACGAAGCCACCCTCCTCTGTTGCACCCCATCACTCTCAACAAGGGGTCCGCAGCTGTGGCCCAAGGTGGTGCTGCAAGCCAGCTCTCCCCTGGCCGAGGCCGCGGGAGGGAAGAGTGGTGGAGACTTTCAAGTAGACTTCCAGGTGGACCATCCATGTCCACTTGCATTTTATTGACCCTGATTTTGTCATGTTGCCACTCCCAGTTGCAAGGGAGGATGGGAAATGCAGTCTTTGTATGGGATGGTGATTTGTTTGGTTGAGTCTGGCAGCTGTTATTGGGGAAGCAGGGAGGACAGATGGAGGAGGAAACTATGGCACCTGCCACAGAAGCTTCTTTTTGAAGTGTGAGGGCTGTGGGTTTAAACTCCATCCCCTATTTACTAGCTGTCAGGTGTTGGCCAAGACACAGAACCTCTTTAACCTCTTCTACTATTATGATCTGTGAAACTGGCATACTGTTCCCAGCACAGGGTAAACAGGAGAAGAAACGCTGTGTTTAGCACAACAGCTGTCACTGTTATACCAGTCCCTGTATCAACATTTGGACTTCACTCACTTACTAGTGTCAGGGTGCGTAGTGCTGGTTACACCTGGTGCGTGGAGGTCCTGCCCCTTTCATATCCTTCCCAGGGACCCAGTGAGCCGGGCTGAGGCCTGCGCAGCTGGGGACACGGCACGCTAATGAGTGTCCGGAGGCACAGGCAGCTTGGTCAGTGTTGATAGGACCTTTCTGGTAACCAGGTGGCCTGATGAGCCAGAGGGTGGGATAGAGGTAAAGTTAAGGAATATTAACTTCCAGAAACATGCGGAGGATGGACCTATGCAGCATAGGAAGAGCTTAGGGGAGACAGCCCGGGCAGACACCCAGCTAAGGGGAGACTCTCTGCCACCTTCATCACTGCTCCTCATCATGGAGTGGGGTTCAAGCCGCAGCTCTGAGGCTGTGCCTCTGCTGGGCCTCCCTGCTGAGGGAGGCTCCTGGAGCGCAGGGCCACTCCGCAGGGTCAGCCCTGCCCGGGACATCAGGAGCCATCTGGGTGTGCTGTGAGCCACTGAGAATCCCATCTGCTCCAGGGGAATCCCAAACTCCTTCCAGGAAATGGGGGATGAGTGGTGGTAGGGGTTGGTTCTGGATTTACTCATCACTCCCAACTTCCTATTAGACTCTTAGTCATCACTATTGCCTGGTACTTTCTGGGCCTGGGCATTGTGTAGGCCATGAAGGCTATGATGGAGACCGGTCCTCAAGGCTGTCCCTACCCACGGGGGGACAGACAAGAAGCAGGTATGGCCGTTGGCATGGCTGCTCCCATTTCTTTCCCCTTCTGGTGCAACTTTGCAACTCCTCCCACTGGAGGTGGGGCCATTTCCCCGCCCCTGTAATGGCAGGTTTGGCCATGTGACTTGCTTTGACCAATGGAATGTGGGCAGACAAGAGTGAGCCAGTCCTGAGCAAAGCTGTGAGTGCGTTTGCTCACTTTGCTTGTGTTATGCTATCACATGAGATCATCTCCCAGGAGACACTTGTCCAAGGAGGGTGAGAGCCATCTGAAGCTTGGCGCCAAGCCTAACCTAGCCTAAACTAGGTCAGCCAAGCTCCATCGGACCCCAGACTTGTGAGCAAGAATAAATTATGCTGCTTTAGGCCGTTCAGTTTTGGGTGGTTTGTTAGCAGAGTTGTGGCAATGGCTCTCCGAAATAACAGACATTGTGATACAGAGTGGGAGGGGCTACAGGGAACGACAGAGGCATTTGATCATCTTGGAGACATTTATGGGGAGGAGGAGGGTTTCACAAACTTGGTACATTATTCAGTTTTGGGGCCTCGTTTTGCTTTTCCCCTGGATGCCCTACATCAGAAACTTAGCAATGAATAGACCCCCTCACCGCTTGTCAGATTGTATGTAATATAAGAGTTAAACCATATGGAGGAATCCTATAAGGACTACAGAAAACGTTCTCTGACAAGTAAAATGAGGACCTTTTGACTTGTAGTGATTCATTCACTCATTTAAAAAAAAAATCATTAGCCCTAGCTGGTTTGGCTCAGTGAATAAAGCATTGGCCTGCGGACTGAAGAGTCCCAGGTTCAATTCCAGCCAAGGGCACATGCCTGAGTTGTGAGCCCGATCCCCAGTGTGGGGTGAGCAGGAGGCAGCCAATCAATGATTCTCTCTCATCATTGATGTTTCTATCTCTCTCTCCCTCTCCCTTCCTCTCTGAAATCAATAAAAATATATTTTAAAAAATCTTTATTGTTGAAAGTATTACACATGTCCCCTTGTCCCCCCATTGACTAATTCTAGCCCCCCTGACCCCCCCCAGCCTTCACCACTATTCGCTCATTTAGTCATTCAACAAATGGAAGGGATATAACTGTGAATAAGATAAAGTAGGATCCTTGTGCACGTACAGCTTACCTTTGAGAGAGGGGAGAGGGACCATGAGTGTCCTAGAGAGTAACAGAGCAGGAAGCACAGCATGGAGCATTGGGGCAGGAGGTGATGTCCATTCATACGGGAGGTCAGGAAGACCCCACCAGGAGCAAGATCTGAGCAAAGACCTGGAAGAGGAGAGGCCCCTGAGCATCTTGGGAGGGCAGGGAGGGCAGGGGACTCTGGGAGAGACACTAGGGTATGGAAGGTCCAGCCCAAGGTCATTCGGAGCATTGTGGGATTTGACGTTACATGTGTTCAGTGAAGATAGCTCTAGAGGAGCAAATCTCCAAATTTTGAGTTTTCTTGTTAAAAAGTCTAGGCAAAAGGTTTCTCTTATTGGGTGAAGCTCCCAGCATCTGCCCTGGGAGCACCTTCTCCCTTTGGGTGTTGTGGCCCCTGGTGATCCTCTGTCTTCTCCTCTAGGCTACAAAGTGCAGGGCCACAGACCCGCAGCCCCTGGGGCCTCTGGACGTTGCTGGAAATGATGCTCACCTTGTACCTGTTGATGATGGGTGTCTCCGCCTTCACCATTCAGCCTGAGGAACGCACGGGTAAGAAGGGACTCTCAGCTGGGAAGGGCTTGTCTGGGGAAGCAGGTGTTTATCTAGGGAGACTTTGCTGTTAGCAAAAAACAAGGTGTGGTTGCCAGAGGGGCGGATGTGGGGAGGGCAAAGTGGGTCAAAGGGGCCAAATACATAGTAAGGGAAGGAAACTAGATTTTGGGTGGTGAGCATGCAAATGAGCACACAGATATCAAGTTATAATATCGTATACCTGGAATGTATATAATGTTGCTAGCCAATGTTGCCTCAGTAAATCTAGTAAAACTAGAGGCCTGGTGCATGAATTTGTGCATGGGTGGGGTCCGGCCGGCCCGCACTGATGGGGGCAGATCTGGGGCAGGGCCGGTGGAGGGTGGGGGGAGGACCACCGGTGGTTGGCTGGCTGATCGGGGGCTGGATCAAGCTGGTTGGCTGCCACCGTGCTGGTCATAGCCACCAGTTGTTTCAGTCACTGGGCTTTTATATATATACTAGAGGCCCGGTGCACGAAATTTGTGCATGGGAGGGGGGTGTCCCTTAGCCCAGCCTGCACCCTCTGTAATCCGGGACCCCTTGGGGGCTGTCTGAATGCCTAAACTGGCAGTCGGACATCCCTCTCGCAACCTGGGACCACTGGCTCCTAAGTGCTCTCCTGCCTGCCGGCCGTATCCCCCTAATTGCTCTCCCCTGCTGGCCTGATCACCCCTAACTGCCTGTGCCTTGGCCCCGCCACCATGGCTTAGTCTGGAAGGATGTCCAGTCTAATTAGCATATTACCCTTTTATTAGTATAGATAGAGGCCAGGTACATGGGTGGGGGCTGGCTGGTCTGCCCTGAAAGGGGTCCCGGATCAGGGTGGGGGTCCCCTCGGAGGGTGGGGCCAGCCTGGGCAAGGGGCCTGGGGCAGTTGGCAGGCCAGCCACACCCCAATTGGGGTGGGGGGTCCCTGCTGGGGGATGGGAATGGCCTGGGCAAGGAGCTGCCGAGGGTTTGTAGGCTGGCCACACCCCAGTTGGGGTGGGGGTCCTCACTGGGGGTGGTGTCAGCCTGGGTGAGAGGCTGGGGCAGTTTTCAGTCTGGCCATGCCCCCATTGGAGTGTGGGGGGGTCTCTGCTGGGGGCGGGGACTGAGGGCCGTTTGCAGGCTGGCCATGGCCCCACTGGGGGGTAGAGGTCCCTGCTGGGGGTGGGGCAGCCTGGGCTGGGGGCTTGGGTGGCCTGGGGGTGGTTTGCAGGCCGGCAAAGCCCCCGGCTTTGTCCAGAAGGACGTCCGGAAGGTCTCTGGAAGGTCTCCCGGTCTAATTAGCATATTACTCTTTTATTAGTATAGATAGATGTTACCTCGATAAATACAATAAAAAGAAAACAAATGCAATGCAAGGACAATCTTGGTGCTCCTCTGAGCAGCCTCATTCCTGCTGGACCTAGGGCCTTTGGGCTGTAACCACACCCCTGTGGGGACTAAGCTCAGTTTTGTGTCTGAACTCAGCTAAGAGCCACTTTAAAAATAAGGAGTGGCCAAGTGAAAAACCTGGCAAACATTTTCATCTTTATTTTTTGTCACCATTATTTTTTGTGAACCTGATTTAACTTTCCCCATAAAATCGGAATGAATAGTAAACCTGAAGTTGCCATTTGAGAGCTTTGAAACCATTATAACAAGAGGGTGAGAGGGCCCAGAGGGCGCCTCACTGTCAGGGGGGCGCTGTGCCCTTGGGTGTGCCACCGTGGGATAGCCACCAAGACTGATGGGTCTCTCTTCCTCCAGTGGCTGCAGGGAGCTGCCAGGACCGCGGCAAGCATTTTAAAACCAGTCTCAAGGTGGAAGGGGAGCCTGTGGTCCTGAGGTGCCCCCAGGCGCGGTACTGGCTGGGGGCCACTGCCAGCCCCCGCGGCACCGTGACCTGGCGCAAGAGCGGTTCTGCCAGGCCAGCCCCCGGGGAAGACGGGCGAGTGTGGGTCCAGGATGGTGACCTCTGGATCCTGCCCGCCCAGCGGGGCGACTCAGGAACCTACCTCTGCACTGTCAGGTAGGCCCCGGAACATGGTGGGCGGGGCTCCGTGCACATGCTCCAGTGGGGCCTGCATGCAGTCTGCTGTCCTCTCCATTGGTCTGAGATACCTCCATGCGAGAGCCACCCCAGATGTTCTCATGGCTCCCTGGCCCCCACTTAGGTCCTCGCACAGACATCACCGCTCAGCCACCCTGTCACACTCTGCTTATTGGCCAGGATTTCCTTCCTCTGCCACATGCGTGTGTGTGTAGTTCATGTTTGTCTACCCCAGGGGTGGGGAACCTTTTCTCTGCCAAGGGCATTTGGCTATCTATAACATCATTCATGGGCCATACAAAATTACCAATGTAAAAGTTAGCCTGCTCTGTAGGTCAGACATTAATTGGCTCTCCCGAATGCCATGGAGGGCCAGCTAGCCCCTGGGTCTGCCCCTCAGAATGTACGCTCCAGGAGGGGACACGGTCACCTGTTCCCTGCTCCGTCCACATGAACACGAGGATAGAACCTGAAACCTGAGGAGACATTAGAACTGCTTATCTACACGTGAGGGATGAAGCTCACACATGAGGTTCTCCCAGGAGTTGGTGTGGAGCTGAGTATTCCCTGTGTGAGAAAGCGTTTGCTCAGGTGGTAGCACATGCATAACATAACATTTACCATTGTAATCCACTAGTAGCCCTGAGCACAAATCCGTGCGCCAGTAGGTCGCTGCTGCCCTCCTGTAGCTCCCCCTACCCACTCCCCCCTTCTCCCCCTCATAGCTTGCTGCCCTGCCCCCTCCTGTAGCTCTCCACAGCCCACTTGTACCTCGCTGGCCCACCCTCCTGCTGATCCGTGATCTGGTGGTGATGCGCTTGGTCGTTACGCCTCAGGGCGTAATGGCTAATTAGCATATTCCTCTCTTATTATGGATTAAACTGTACAACCCAGTGGCGTTAAGCACATTCACACTGCTGTGTAGCCATCACCACTGTCAGCTCAGAGCTCTTCATCACCCCAAACTGGAACTCTGTACCCATTAAACAACCACCACTTCTCATTCCCCTCCCCCAGCCCCTGCAAGCCACCCTACCTCTGTTGCTGTGGGTTTGACTCCTCTGGGGACCGCATGCAAGTGGAGTCAGGCAGCACTTGGTCTTTGGTGCCTGGCTTCCTTCACTCAGTATAACGTTTTCAAGGTTCATTCACGTTGTGCAATGCACCAGGTTTCATTTCTTTTTAAGACAATATTCCGTTGTAAGTATAGACCACATTTCGGTTATCTGTTATCTATCAATACATTTGTTCTGCCTTTTGGCTATTGTGAATAATACTTAATGAGCATGGGTATACATATATCTTGGAGTTGGTGGATCATATGGTGAATCTATGTCAGCTTTTGGAGGAGCCATCATGCTGTTTGCCACAGTGGCTGCCTTGTTTTGCATTCCCACCAGCAATGTACAAGGTTCCGATTTCTCCACATCCTCACCAACACTTATTATTTTCTGTGTTGTTTTTTTTTTTAGGGGGGAGGGATAGGCTAGCCATATTTTCTACCATTCCATGGATTGCCTTTTTACTCTGTGGATAATGTTCTTTTAATGCACAGAAGTTTTTAATTTTGATAAAGCTCAATTTATCTGTATTTTCTTGGGTTGCCTGTGCTTTTGATGTCACATCCGAGATACCATTGCCATAGCCAATGTCATAAAGCTTTCCCCTGTGTTTTCTTCTAAGAATTTCTATTGTTTTAGCTCTCCTGTTTAGGTCTCTGACCCATTTTGAGTTAACTTTTATATATGGCTAAGGTAATGGCCCAGCTTCATTCTGTTGCATGTGGCTGTCCTGTTTTCCTGTTGGAAAGACTGTCCTTTCTCTGGTGAATGGCCTTGGCCCTTGCTGCTTTGTGAAGGAGAGGTCCTAGGTGTCCTGCTGGAGATGTTGGCAACTCCCTGGCCTAGTTTTTCTGAAGGACTAGGGCCGCCTGCTGGCCTGGCTGGGAAGTGGAGCTGCTGGCCTCTGCAGGGGCTGCTCCCTCCCTAGGCTGCCCCCACGCCTCCGGCAGCTTAGAAACTCATTCAGGCTTCAGAAACTCGTTTATTTCCGGAGAAGCCATATTCATGAGTATTGACGTTTAGAAAGAGAACCAAAGGAAGTGACACTCTTAGCACAAAGGGATTGCTAGTGAACAGGAGGGTTTCAGACAACATCAGCCCCAGTCCCAGATTCCCAGATGGGGCGTGTGTGTGTGTGTGTGTGTGTGTGTGTGTTACCTTCTGTCAATGAACCCTGCCCAGGAAGCAAGCCAAGCATCTCTCATTTCTGTACCAGGGAAGAAGATGTATGTGTGATTGCACAGTAGTTATAAATACATAGTTTTTGTTTCTTTTTTGTGCAAAAATCCCATTTCCCCCATAAGGAGCACTGCTAGGAAAACCTAAAAGTGTGTTTAAAAAAAAGAATAAAATGTGGAGCCAGGATGACAGGGATGTGAACCTAAACCCTCCCATTTTCCATCTTGGTCTGATTCCTTGGCAATTCCAGCCTCAGTTCTGTGCCCGGGAGGGTGCTGGGCGGGTTTGACTCGCAGCCTGTGGAGTGTCTAGTCCGGGGAGCGCCACAGCGACGCAGAGAAGGCACTTCCCCCGGCGGCGATGCTTACTGCCCCCAAATGATAATCTGCAGAGATCAGGGGGACACGGCTGAGTCATGTTTGTCTTAAAGAAGGTTGTTACACTTCACTAAAAAATCCTAGCTAATATTCTTGTTTTGTTTCCCATTCTTCTAGAAAAGTAGAGATCTGGAATTGAGGGGCAGTGGAAACCCATATGTGGGTCAAGCTTTTGAGCATGCACTGCCTAGCAGCTAGCCACATGCGGCTCTTTGGCCCCTTGAGTGTGGCTCTTCCACAAAATACCATGTGCGGGCACGCACGTACAGTGCGATTGAAAGAGCCGCATGTGGCTCGCGAGCCACGGTTTGCCGAGCCGCAGTTTGCCAACCACTGGCCTAGCTGATCGCTAAAACTCTCTTCCTGTCCAAGATTGGGATCCAAAAGACCTAGAACCACCAGCAGTTGCCACAATCCCCTTTGGCATTTATAGCCAAAAGGCATGAGACTTTTAAAGTCTTGAGGGTCTTGAGGTGTAGCACCCGAGGGGCCTTTCTGTCAATGGGGGGTGGGTTGGGGGGGGGGAGAGCCGAGATGCCAAATCGTGACCCTCTAGTCTCAGGGTTTCAAACAACAGGGCAAGGTTGTCACCCAGGCAGCAAGCCAGGAGGGCTGGGCACATGCTTGGGGACCCAGACTGAACGTTGGTCCCTGTACCAAGACAAAGCATGCTCTGAGGGGCTCCCTGGTATAGAAGTGACTACAGTCAAGGAGCTGCCCCTCTCACAGTGGGGCCAGGATGTGCAACCCCACTGTGTGCGCAGGATGGGAGGATGGATGTGTGTAGAGAACAACACTAATGACACCCACACTTTTGTTGTGGGGAAACCACACTCCATGGGGAATAAGAGTGGCGATGGCATGACTCCCCCCTCTTTCTGTTGGGGCCCTTTCATGGAGTATCTTGCTCAAGGGGAATCACTTTATCAATAATGTGAACAGGTTTGTGACTCTCAGTATATCGTCCTAATTTAAGGGTTTTCTCAAGGGCCCTGCTGGGTTTCAGCCTTGCTTTGACCTCTTAGCAGCTGTATGGTCATAGGAAATTGCTTAATTTCCGTATATGTAATTTCCCCACCTAAACATGAGATACTAATAATTTCTGGCTTTCGGTGCTGGAGCATGAGTGCGGATGCCTGCAGCCCCAGCCAGGCCAGCAGCCCTCCTCGCCGCTGTCGGGGAGCCGCTGGGAGGCGCGGGCTGCCCTGGAGGTTGGTCCTGGCTCATGTCTCCTTGATGTGCATTTTTCAAGGCAATAGTTAACTTTTTGTATTTCTTTGTGCATAAAATGTTTGTTCATCTCTTAGGTAGCTAGAAAGTTAGTGAGATAACGACAAAGCTTAGTTGTAGTTCATATCCTCTGTCACCTGCCATCTCCGCCATGTTTCTAGACACGAGTTGCCTGTGCCATTTCCCAGTTCTAGGGTGTTGATAGGATTATGATATTGAGATTAAAGTTATCCCAACAACAACAAAAAATTAAAATCCAAACAAACAGACTCATTGAGTTAGTGTCCCCCAGGCAGCGTGCAAATATCTCTAGATTTTATACTCAGTTCTCAGCAGTTTTCTGAAATTAGACTTCAGCTACCAGTGACTCCCCGAGAAGTAAAGGGCTTTTCTGTATAAGAGATGGTGGCCCTCAGGAGCACTTCCTGTATGAGGACATGTCCCCTGACCCAGGAGGCAGGCACATTGGCTCAAGGAGCCCAGAAACTGGCAGGTGTAGGCCGTGGTGGTGTTGCGATCAGGCTGGTGAAGGGCCTTCTGGGAAAAATTCAGAATATATCGTCATTTCGAATAACATTTATGATGTGGTGCTTGCTTTGTCCCCCCAAGGATTCAAAAGGATCAGGGATCAAAGTATCACCATACTAATAAAAAATGCAGAATTTAACAGGACTAGGGAAATTGTTCCTAATTTCTTTTAGATTTACGTTTATTTTGCCTTGCCATTCATTACCTTTTCCCCTTTTAAATCAGAAATGCCTCGTACTGTGACCAGATGGCCCTGGACCTCAGGGTGCTAGAGAACACAGACGCTTCGCTGCCCGCCGTCTCCTACCCGCAGGTGCTCACCGTCGCGGCCTCGGGCTCCTTAGTCTGCCCTGAACTGAGTGAATTCGCCAAGAACAAAACTGACCTGAAGATTCAGTGGTACAAGGTACCTTTCCAACAAGTGGTGTTGAATTACTGTGCACTTTACTGCCACAAGAAAGAGATAAAAGGCCTTAATTATAAAGGACCATGGTTAATATGCTCTATTGATCCCTCTGTGGCTCATTCTCGAGTGATGATTTGAGGATATGAAATGAATCCCATGTAAATAACAGCTGAAAAAGACATCTTTCCACTCTATTTGTCTGTTAAAATTCAGAAAACAATTGTTGGTTCATTTAACAACTTATGCACAACTTTTGGTGAAAGGAGTAAGTACAAACACACCTCCTTCTCTTGCCTGGCCGAGTAAATATTACCATCAGCTCCTAGTAGGTGGGCCTGGCACGGGCAACGCAGCCGCAGGCCACACGGAGGCGCCGCCTGTTTCTGCAAGAGAGGCTAGTCCTCACGTTTTTAAACGGCTAAAAAATGTAAAAGAATCGCACTCTCTTATGACATGTGAGTAACAGGACTCCAGCTCTCGTGCATCGGTAACGCTGTACCAGGCCCGGCCACCTTTCCTGTTGCAATGGGAGAACTGGGTATGGTCCAAGGCCATGCACACTGTGGGCCTCACACACTATCTGGCCCTTCACAGAAACGGTACTGATACAGACTGTAGACTGATATTGGAAAGTACAGTTACTTGTTTAATTGTGGACAGAAATTGGCCCTTTAATCAAGAATTAGGTCCATTTAAAAACGTATGTGGAAATGAGACAAGTATATATTACACGATGTACTCACATGTTTACTGAAGCACTGCTTATAAGAAGATACTGGAAACAAGAAAATGCTCACCATGAGGGACTGGTTAAACTAATTTCATCTCAGAGGAACAGTGGACTATCATAAGTATTTACAAAACATAGAAGAAAAAATACAATACTGCTATAGTTTAAAGGCTTTAAATGACATGTTATATTTCCTAGTTATGTAAAAATATGGTTTAATATATTTAAAAATATGGAGGAATATACATTGAAACAACAATGATGTTTTGAGGATAAAGGATTCACTTTCTATTTTTATAAGTCAGTGTTACATTACGTTTTTATGTTGTACTGCTTTGCTAATTGCAAAGGCATTAAAGGTATTTCCAGAGGGCAAGAGAAAAAGAAGTTAGGGACTTTCATTTATGAAATACACGTGTTACTCCTCAATCTATTGAAACCTAATTTTCTAGTATAATCTCAATCAACATTATCTATAATTTTGTCATAATTATTAAAATGTGGCTTTTTAGAAAAAAAATGGGTTAGCCAGTTGACTGGTGTTACAACTTCAAGATATATGTATATTATATCAGTGAATGCTGCAAACGTAAATGATGTTCTGGAAGTAGAAGGAAGTAGCAGCCCCTATGAAATCGGCACCCAATTAGGGACTGGATTCTTTCCTGTTTAGGAAGAGTCAATAGGAAGGGTAAGAGGCCGTGCCTGCAGAGGAAAGAGCACGGGCCGGGCGTCCCCTGCTCTGGGTTAGAGCCCTGTGTGTTTCCATTTAGCTGTTGTGTAGCCGTGGCCGACTGATTTCACCTGACACCTGCTCCCTCTGCAAAGCGGCCACGGGCCCGCGGTGGAGCACCGTGCATGAGGCCCTCGCATGGGGCTGACAGACACATGGAGCCCAACAGCGGTCAGACGGGATGTCCCGGGTGCTCAGTGATCCTCCTGCCCTTCCTCAATGCTGACCGTTCCTGAGCACGTGCCGTGCACAGATCTGTTCTAAACTCGCTGCCATGCAACAACAAAGCAGAAACGATTAATTCCTCTACTTTACAGATTAGAGAACAGAGATACACAAATGTAAGACTTGCCCAAGGGCACACAGCAGAGCGATGGCAAAGCCAAAACCCTCAGCCAGGAGCTCCACACCCACTGCTGGCAGGCAGCCCCATGGTCGGAGCCGTGGGAGAACTGGGCGGGCCCACTGGGCTTGTTCATATTTGTCCTCACGTTTGGAACAATAATCTCTCCTTTTAATTAAATAGATCGAGAGGAACAAACACTTCTAGTTATGTTTGTGTTCCCATTCGGTAAGAAGCTGGAATGACTCATTTGAGCAGAGCACGATTTCAAGCACCGGGCTTGGCACGTGTGCCCCTGAGAACAGTTTGTTCTCATCAGGGAGCTTCCAAGCTCCTATTCAGCCGCTTCTGTGTTGTTGGCGGCCTTGCCCTTCCGCAGAAGCCATGCCATCTTTTGTCCCTATGAAAGGTGTGGCCTCGTTTCTCACATTTAGTTTTTCTTACTATTTTTTCCACTTCTCTACCGACTCCTAAAATTGAATTAATTTTTAAAGTAATTACAGCAACATCATCTCTTCTGAACACCGCTTTCCCAGTCGCGGTGACCAAGAGCAGGACTCTTTCCTGGGGACCCCCGAGGCCCATGGGCAGCTGTCAGGCCAGACATATATTTGTATTTTCAATGGTTTAGTCTGTTGAAGAAGAGACTTTCTTCCCACCCCCTCGCAGTGCTTTAGCAAACGTGCCTTAAGCATGGTGTTTAAACAGATTCAGCAACTTTGTTTTCTATGTTAACAAATTCCCTCTCCCCAAAACAGAGATAAAATTATGTCCAAAGTACAATATTTGCAAAGTAAATAACGAGGCCAGTCTTGGGTTGCAAATTCCACATGGATGGGTCATACTGATCCCATTCATAGCTGTTGAGAGAAAGTTAGGACAGAGTGTAACTTTTGAAAAACATTTTCCCTAAGGATTCTGTCCTCTTGGATCAAGACAGTGGGAAGTTTCTAAGTGTGAGAGGAACGACGCGCTTACTCATCCGCGATGTGTCTGTGGAGGACGCGGGCCGTTACAGCTGTGTCATGGCCTTTGCCCACGGGGGCACACGGTACAACGTCACTAGGAATATCAAACTCCGTGTCCACAGTAAGTGCCGGCCATCGAGGCACCTCTCTGCCTGGTTCGACCACAAGCGTGCAAAGAACAAGTTAGGGCTCACCTGGGTTTCCTTAAAAGTGTTTGGTGTGAAAGGAAAACACATACGTCAAGTCTCTTAAAACATCAGGCTAAGCAGAGGTGTGAGACACTATGAAAGGTAGAAAGCAGGGGTTATATTGAGGAAGGTGAGGCCCTGGGCTCCAAGTCTGAGACTAAAACACCACGAGGGGGGCCCAGCAGTGGTTCCTGGGAAGGTCGGGAAAGCTTGCACCTCCAGGGCGGCCACCAACGCGGCTGCCACACTCCATGTAGGACTGTCTGTAGGGCTGTCTGTAGGGCTGTCTGTAGAGCTGTCTGTAGGACTGTCTGTAGTGCTGTATGTAGGACTCTCTGTAGGACTGTCTGTAGGACTGTCTGTAGGGCTGTCTGTAGGGCTGTCTGTAGGGCTGTCTGTAGGGCTGTCTGTAGGGCTGTCTGTAGGGCTGTCTGTAGGGCTGTCTGTAGGGCTGTCTGTAGGGCTGTCTGTAGGGCTGTCTGTAGGGCTGTCTGTAGGGCTGTCTGTAGGGCTGTCTGTAGGGCTGTCTGTAGGGCTGTCTGTAGGGCTGTCTGTAGGGCTGTCTGTAGGGCTGTCTGTAGGGCTGTCTGTAGGGCTGTCTGTAGGGCTGTCTGTAGGGCTGTCTGTAGGGCTGTCTGTAGGGCTGTCTGTAGGGCTGTCTGTAGGGCTGTCTGTAGGGCTGTCTGTAGGGCTGTCTGTAGGGCTGTCTGTAGGGCTGTCTGTAGGGCTGTCTGTAGGGCTGTCTGTAGGGCTGTCTGTAGGGCTGTCTGTAGGGCTGTCTGTAGGGCTGTCTGTAGGGCTGTCTGTAGGGCTGTCTGTAGGGCTGTCTGTAGGGCTGTCTGTAGGGCTGTCTGTAGGGCTGTCTGTAGGGCTGTCTGTAGGGCTGTCTGTAGGGCTGTCTGTAGGGCTGTCTGTAGGGCTGTCTGTAGGGCTGTCTGTAGGGCTGTCTGTAGGGCTGTCTGTAGGGCTGTCTGTAGGGCTGTCTGTAGGGCTGTCTGTAGGGCTGTCTGTAGGGCTGTCTGTAGGGCTGTCTGTAGGGCTGTCTGTAGGGCTGTCTGTAGGGCTGTCTGTAGGGCTGTCTGTAGGGCTGTCTGTAGGGCTGTCTGTAGGGCTGTCTGTAGGGCTGTCTGTAGGGCTGTCTGTAGGGCTGTCTGTAGGGCTGTCTGTAGGACTGTCTGTAGGACTGTCTGTAGGTGTTGCTACTGGGGTTTATTGGGTGTTTCTGCTGGAAAGCCAAGCAATGACACACCCAGTGGGAACTGCGTCCTGCGTGCTCCCCGAGGCAGGTCTAGCTGCCCGTGAAAGCAGGATTTCAGACAGTGAGTCTTCCTATGGGTTTACATGAACTCTGCTGGGGAAATGCTGTGAGCAGGATTGGTCAGTGTTTACTATTTGTTCAACAGTGAGCCAGGCCCCCAGGCTGGACACCCTGGATGGCGCCGGCATAAACGGTGCTCACGTCCTGGACAACAGGCTGCTTCCTTTGTTTTACATGCAGAATAGCTGCTCAACTGGAGCCTTTTGAGGGCGTTTCAGGGAGCTTTGGGGGTAAATTAAGGTTGAATGATTGGCCTATGAGGGGAAAAGATTAACCTTTTTCCACACAGAACCCAGAGATCCAGTTTCACTGTCTCCCATGAAAGCAAGTCACTAGATTATGTGTCTTTTACTGTCCTGTGAGGGTGCCTGCATCTCCACTCAATCCCTGGGGACACGGAGCTGATGCTCAGAGCCTCCCTGCTCCTGTGCTGCGCAGGGACACCAGGGGGCGCCAACCCCCAAGTTCGCCTGCAGCCCGCTGGACGGTCTCTGCTTCTGGGAGGAGGGCGCAGCCACGCCCTGGGCAATGGGTAGACAGGCCACACCTGGCCCATCCCAGCCTCTGGATTGGGAGCAGGGGCCAGGGAGCGGAGCAGTGTGTTTCACAGCCCCACCCGGAGATGCTGTGCGACCCAAGTTAGACCCAGGGTGCATCAAGGCCCCAGCTCTGTCTGCCCGCCCCGCCTCCCCGCGCCCTGCCGGGTGTGTGTGTGTGTGTGTGTGTGTGTGTGTGTGTGTGTGTAGGGGGGACGGCGCAGTCAGGGCTTCGGGTTCTCTCCGGGGAAGAAGCCGGGATGGAGCGAGTGGGGTGGGAGGGGCGGGAGGGGCGGGTTGCCCACCCCAAGCTGATCTTTTTGCCCCGTTCAGGTGACCAGTTTCCTCAAGCTGCTGGGAGTGGGCAGCTTGAGGAGCTGGGCTCTGACTCCTAGGAGACCACCTTCGCCCCCAAAGGGATTATCTCCTCAGCAAGTCCCCGTGGGCAGCGTGAGCTCCCCCCACGCGGCTTAGCGTCACATGGCCCTGCCTCTTTTCCTCTCCCAGAGGGGCTTCAGGGCTCCGCAGGGAGCTGGTGGGCCGGGTGCAGGGGGGAGACATTTAGGCAAATGGACTCTGGGCAGACCTATCCTGGGGACAGTGTGCGTGTTGCTGTCAGGGGTCTATTCAGAGAAAGGATTCGTCCAGGAAGCCGGGGAGGGCAACGGCCAGTGTTTGCCCCAGAAGGAAGGCTGTGAGGGGATGTGTGCGGGGCTCCTTCCAGTCGCCTCTCTCTCTCTCTCTCTCTCTCTCTCTCTCTCTCTCTCTCTCGGAAAGGCACGGCCACACTGGGAGAGCCGGCCCCTGGCTAGGCGACGGCTTGACCCACTAGACGAAGCCCTAACTGACCTCCTTTCTGCATCTCTCGCAGGGAAAGAAGTGGAGACGGTGCCCGTGATGCTGTCCCCGCACCAGACCATCTCGGCTTCCCTGGGTAAGGCCTGGGGGGCCCGGCTGCCTGCGGCCCCAGCTCTGGGCCCGGGCCACACCTGCGCCTGCCCTTGGTGTGCAGCACACGGGGTGTGTGTGTGTGTGTGTGTGTGTGTTGGGGGGGGGGGGCTGGCACCAAGGATGAGAGGCTGAAATAACAAATGTGAGGGCAACTCTCGTGCCAGTGTGATTAGAAACGGCGTTGTTTAAAACAGGTGGACTGTGCTTCATGAAAACCCCACCTAAGAGGATCTAAACCGAAGACGTGGGGCATTCGGGCAGCAGTTGTAGCTGGGGGGCGGGGTGACACCCTCCCAGACCAGGACCTGCCCTAGAAACCAGTCACGCCACCGCCGGCTGCCGCTCACATCCCCTAGGGCTCCATCTGTACAACAAGGCTGACCGGCCCCTGTGGCCCCTCGTGGACCGTTTCTTGTGGCCACAATTGCTGGCCAGCTGGTGGGGTGATGGCAATGATGGGCAGGATGGTCCCTTTTGCACCCGCTTTGGGGCAGGCTGTCTGGGCCAGCCCTCACTTCCTTACTGAACAACGGTGTGCCCAGTGGGGCTCCCACGAGGTCTTACTGCTTATTTCTCCCATTTCCAGTAGAAAAAGCTGCGGGGGTCACGGTGGCTTGAGAAAGGCCAGGCTGGGGCTCGGCCCGCCTGTGTCTGAGGCCCGGCTGTTCTGTGTTGGTTTCTGTACAGCATTTGTAGGCTATGCTCATTCCTTAAACTCAGGCTTCTCCTCTCCCCTCTCTTTCTCTCTTCCTCCCTCCCTCTCAACTTCTTGTGTAGGTTGGGCTTATATTTAACACGGTT